TAATATATTATTTAAAGATAATAAGTAATAAATAACCTAGATAAGATTTCCTAAAACTAAGTATAATTTATAATTTCTAGTAAAGTAAGAAAAACTAATAAAAATAAGCTAAATATTTTTTGAATATTTTAAAATATATAATAATATTATCTATATATACTTTTATAAATTTTTAAAGTTCTTTAAATAGTTTATTTATCTACCTTTATATATAGAGTAGTAACTTTTTATACTTTATTAAGTAAATATTTAATTATTTCTAATTATAATATAAAATAATTATAAATTTATAATAATTTTTAAATTAAATAAAAAATTAATAAAACTATACTAAAGTATTAATAATATTAATATATAAATATTTTATAATAAGATTAATAATATTAAACTATAGTAATAGTAAGTAAGTATTAATTTTAATAATTTTATTTAACTTATAAATATTAATAATAATTCTTCTTTTAAAACTATTTAATATATTACGCTATATAATAAAGACTAAATAGCTAAATTCTATTAATTAATTTAACTAATTTTTTTTAAAAAAATAAAATTTATTATAGGTTTTATTAATAATTTTTCTATTTTTTAGTTTTAGTAAATAAAGTTATTATAGTTTTAAATTAGTGCTAAAAATTAAAAGCATTAATATATACTTTAGTTCTAAAATATTAATTATTTAATTTTAATTAATTTAAATATTAAAATATTTTTCTACTACTTTAGAGATTTATATTATATTATTAAATAAGCTATAAACTTTTATACTATTAAGTAATATATACTTTAAAGTTAGATTAATTAATAGTATTAATTATATTAGTAATAGATTATTTATTATATTAGAAAGTACTTTTAATAATTCTATTAACTATATTATATTAGAATTAAGTAATATTAAAAAAGCAACTACCCCTATAATAAGTTTTACCTTTTAGTTTATTAGCTTTTTAAATATCTATAAATAAATAGCTAAAAAAAAGCTATTAATAGCTTAATTATATAATATCTATTTTATATATATTCTACTACTAATCCTAGTAATATTTATTTTAAGATAATAATATTTTAAAGTATAAAATTTTTTATTTATATAAAAGAAAATAATAAATTAACTATATAAATATATACCTTTCTATTATAACTTAAATCCCCTTTTATAATAGCTTAAATAAAAAATTTTATTTAATTAAAATTTCTTTATATTAAATAAAGACTAAAACTATTATTATTAAAAGAATAATTATTTTTTCTTTAGCTTAAATTCTTTAGTAAATAGCTAGTATTTTTAATATAACTATTATTAATATAATTATATTTTAATAAGCTTTAATTTTAAGCTAGCTATCTATAAAATTAATATATATTTTCTATAAAATAATTATATTATTATTAATTAAAATATTAATATATAGTTTATTAATAAAATAAATTTCTATATTTATTTATATTTAAATAGAATATTTATTTAAATTACTATTAATAAATAAAAGAATATTTATATATTTTTATAATTTATATATATTATTTTTAATATTATAGATAAGAATTACTAAAAGAAATAATTTAATTTTAGCTTCTAATATAAGCTAATAAAATAGTTTTTTATTAATAATAATAATTCTATATCTAGAATTAAAGTAGGTATTAAAAGTACTTTTAGCAACAATTATATTTAGCTTAGCGCTAAATTTAATAGGACTACTATTAAGAGTAATATAGTTTTCTTTCTTAATATAGCCTATAAAGTATTAGTATTTTATTCTAGTATTATTTTAACTTAAATATTATTCCTAATTACTATTCTATAAGGAAAATAAGCATTTTATTTATTATATAAGTATTAGAACAAAGTATTCTTTATTTTAAAATACTTTAAATAATATTAATAATTATTACCTATTAGTAGAAGGCTAACGAAAAACATTAATAATTTATATAAATTAGTATTTTTATTAATTACTTTTTTAGTATTTTAATTATAATTATATTAAGCCTACTTATCTTATAATATTTAAAAATTAATATTATATTAATATAAACTTTAACTCTTTTTATAATTAATACTAATATTATACTAGTTTAAAATATTTTTATTTTAAAATTCTTTATAATAGACTTTTAGACTAAAATTTAGTTGTTAATTTTAATTAAAATAAAGACTTTAATTTTAATATTTTTAGTTCTAGTATCTTTAGTTTAAATTATTAAAAGTATTAATATTTTCCTAGAATAGAAAACTAAACTAATTTATAAAGCTATTAATAAATAATAGATAATTTATTAATAATAGAAAAGAATACTACTACTATAGTATATTTAAAAACTAATTTTAACTTAGATAATAATTTCTTTATAAATTTTAATATAGAGGGCTTTAATTATAAGGTTTTTTATATTAATTAAAATAAATATTATTTTATTTTAAATAAAAATTCTAGTTTATAGAATAAGAAAAATAAAAGTTTTACTAATAAAGCTAATTAAAAAATAATAGTTATTTTAGGTAATACTAATTAAACTACTAAAATATTTTAGTATTTCTATTTATTTAAAAATAATTAATTAATAGTTAAAAACTACTACTTTTTATTATTTTTAATATATAATTTTATTAATTATATTTAAGTTTATTTATATTAGTTAAGAATATTTTTAAACTAATATTATCTTGCAAGTAGTAAAAATTAACCTAGAGTTCTATATTAATATTATTATAAATAATATTTAGCTAATTCTAAATATTATTAAATTTAGCGTTTTTAGCTATATAAAAAATATATTAAATATATTCTTAAAGCTTTTAACTAGCTATTATATTATATAATAAATATTGTTCTTTAAATAAGCTATTTATAGCGATATTAGTTAGTTTATAAAAATAATTAATTAAAATATAGCTTTATTTACTAATTTTTTTATTTAATTAAATAAAGTATTTTATATTATTATTTATTTCTATTAACTACTAAGATAATATATTACTTTTTAAATATATTTAAAAGTTAATTTTAACTATTTTTATATTTTTTATATTAATAATATTATTAGTATATTCTAAGAATAAATATATATTATAAAAATAAGTTTCTTTTCTAATATACTCTATAAGTAGAGATCCTTTTTTAATAGTTTTACTATTATATTAAAAATTGAAAAAGCTAATATTAATAGCGTTCTAATAATTATTATAATAGTATAGAATTCTTTAACTATTATTTTCTCCTAAGCTTTAAGGACTAAGTAGGCTAAAGGGACCTAGTAGTTTTAAAAGAGATTAGAAACTATAGAAAGTAGCTTATAAAAAATTAAAAAATAATTTAATATATCTAAGCTTAAATAGCTTTATTTATTTTAAAAATATTTTCTAAAATAGATAATAAATATTTATAATATAGACTAATTAGTTTAAAATAAATCTTTTTTTTAACTAAAATTCATTTATATATTAATAATTAATAAAAAGTATTAAAAGTTAGTTTATTCTTATTTAAATTTATTAAAAATAAAACTATTAATATTAAAAATAGTTAAGTTAAAAGGTTATAAAGATTCTAAGTCTAATATATAAAAGTCTAAAATATTTTTCAAAATACTAGCTTATTAACTATTTAATCTAAAAGCTAAGTAGGCTTAGATTTAATTAATTTAAAATAAGCTTTTTAATTATAGAAAAATAATATCTTTTGCTATTCTCTTAGAAGGTATAATATATTACTATTAATATATTTAAAGATAGAATTTATAATATTATTAAATTCTAATAGGAAATTATTATTCTATTAGAAATTATAGAGTTAAAAAGCAAAAGTAATAATATTATAATTAATATATAATAGAGCCTCTATTAATAGTATACTAGAAGCTAGCTTATAAAAATAGTAGAATAATTAATTAAAAATACTTTTAATAAATAAGTATATTAATAAATAACTTAAGTAATAAATAATTAATTAATTAATAGAATTAATATTTAATATAAAGTTATTATAGTTATAGTAATAATTATTACTAGTATAATTATTACTAGTATAAAAAGTTCCTATTATAAAAAAAACAATATAAGCTGTCTTACTTACTTACTACTAAAGGGTGAAAAGGCTAGAAAGCAATAGGCTAGAAGATATAAAAGCTAGATAGCAATAATATAGTATAATAAATATAATTATCTCTTTCTATTATATAATATTTCTACTCTAGTTTTTTAAAAGGCAATATTTATACTAATTACTTTAGCTAGTTAGTTAGCTTAGTAGGCTAGTATTTAGCTATTACCTAGTCTAAAAGGTAGAGGGGCGTTAGTTAGTGCTTTTTACTTAGATAAACTAAGTATTACTACTATTAATATAGTATAGCAAAATATAGCTTAAAATAAACTAGTTATAAACATATTATCTAGAATTATAATCTTATTATTATCTTAAAAAACTAAGATCTAAGATCGATCTAAGATATAAGCTTAAAGCGGAACTAGTTCTAGACTACTAAGCTATAACTAAAACCGCTCCCTATTAAATATAAGTAACTTTTTATTAATAGTAGTAAATATTAATATAGAAAGTTATAGAAAATTTATAAATTTATAGAGCTTTATATATACTAAAAAGGGGCTGCCAAGGCGCTTATTTTATTATACTATCTCCTAGTATAGAAGATGTTGTCAAAAGTCCTAACCCTACCTACTAGACTAAATTACTTAGCCTGAAATTTTAGCAATACTAAAAATCTGGGGGGTAGGATCCCTAAAAGGCTCCCCTAGAGCGATCTTATAGGCTGGGCTTACAGGGGCCTATAGGGGCCTCTTATAGGGACCAGTTTTTAGAGGGTCAGAACTTTTGACGGCATCCTCCGTAGGCTGTGAACCTAGTTCCCCTTTTCGGATTGGTACGCTTGGCTTCGGCCAGGGTCCTGCTCATATTCTTCCTCCGCCCCTTCAGCTCAGCTCAGCTTGCTGCTGCGAAGACGATCAGAAAATTGTCAATACAAGGAAAACTTCCATCATGGCCCCTGCTGCATTCTCCGACATTGCAAAAGCCTCGAATGATGTGCGTTAGCCGGCGGATTGCTCTGCAGCCGAGCTTGCTAACTTTTTCTCTCAGCTGCTAAACAAAGACTTCTACCACACTGCGAGGGGTTTGTACGAACGCCTAAGCTGAGAACGATGTCTAACGCCTTGAAGCGAAGGTCGACGTCAAGTCAAAAGCTCCGAATGGCGTGGCTTTCAACGCAAAAGGCCTCTCTGCTCACGAAGGCTCTACGAGTACATCCGTAAGCTTCTGACCCATGCCAACAGCATTACCATGGGATGTACACTTTACTGACTACACGAAAATAGCTTGAGGGGAAATATGCGGATCCATCTGCTGGTAAACCTCTGCAATTGTCCCTCGTCGCTCGGTCACCTCCCATCGCGCCATATGACCCCCTGGGATTCGTGATATTCATGGACGCCAAACATGCATCTTTGCTAATGAGAATCCGAAATGCAGGTCTGACGCTTACTGAGACGTGGAGCAACAATAATCTCCTGACCACGAAGGTGGAGCTCGACAACAACATTGCCAAGGGTTTGAAAGCTGAGGCAATCTCGGTATGTTATCGTCCTATGTTGAACGGCGAGACTTCGCGGGTTTGACTTAGTCAATTACGTAGGATTTTGTTCCATCTTCCAAAGACTTCGGGGCCAAGTTGAATCTCCATTTCAGACAGCCAAACTTTACAGGCCGAGCTTTCTTTGACTTGCTGAAAGGCCCTACTGCCAACGTAGATGCAGTATTAGGCCATGAGGGCTTTCTAGTGGGTGCAGAGGCAGCTTACGACGTACAAAAGGCAGCCATCACAAAGTATTCTGCCGCCATTGGCTACTCCACCCCAGAATACAGTGCCGGCGTCACGGCGACTAACAGCTTGAGCGTTTTCGCGGCGTCCTATTACCACAAAGTGAATTCTCAAGTGGAGGCTGGAGCAAAGGCCACGTGGGATTCGAAGAGTGGGAACAACGTCGGTATGGAATTGGCTGGCAAATATCGTATCGATCCTGTCTCATTTACAAAGGTACAACCTGAATGCTGTTCGCTCCATTTGAATATTCGCTAAGGCTGTGGCAGGCCAAAGTAAATGATCGTGGAATTGCGTCTTTGGCCTACAATGTCAAGCTTCGACCCAGTGTCACTCTAGGCCTCGGGCTGTCTCTTGATACGCAAAATTTGAATGAATCTGCACACAAGGTTCGTCTTTCAGGCGCCCCTTTCCAACATATTGCTGAATATACTTTTCCAAAAGATCGGTGCAAGCTTAGAGTTCGACGGTTAGAGTGGGCTTGTCTTTGAAGAATACTCTGACTCCCACATGGATCTGCCAAAAAATATTCAAATGTACCCTTGAGGATTGTACGCCTTTCTTGGCCCGTCTAGATGCATTGCGGTCCACTGCCGGTGTTCAGTGATTTGAGGCGCAGGCTTCATGTGAAATCATTCAATGATTAGCGTCTAGCGATGGGTCTTTTTTTTAATTAGATGGACCTATAGCCTTTCCTCGGCCATAACTTCGTCTTTGTCCATAGGCCCACAATGGCACGTAAGCCAGGCCAACAATGCCACTGACTATCAGAAACCTCATTGCTACATCGGCTGCTCCACCTCCACCATATTCTGGAGTATCCTCGCGTTTTCTGTTTTTCCACCTTTGCTCGTGTGACTGCTGGGTCCTGTAATGGCCGAGCTGGTCAAAATGTGGCACATCGTTATTCAGCCCGGCCTGCCCTTGACCCACACCAAAGCCAACTGGGGGACGTGAAGATGTGGCCGTGGGAGCACTTTCCCCATGAGCCTGGGCTTGTCTTCGAGCCCCGTGCGCGCCCCAAGCCCCGTTCCTGTAAAAGCTGGGCGGGGGACCCTTGAACTGGGTACGCCGTCTGCTTAAGCCGCTGGCTGGCCGCGCACCAAATGGCCTCGAAGAACTGGAATGAGTGCCGCGAGGCACAGGATAGGGGGAAGGCTGTTGAGCCCCAATGACATCTCGATCATAGCGCTCTCGTTTTTCAGAATTGCCTATGATTGCATATGCCTCGGATATCCTCATGAAACGCGCCGCTGCGTGGGGATCATCTGGGTTGCGATCAGGGTGGTGAGTCTTCGAAAGCGCATAAAATTGTCTACGGAGCGTTAGAGTTTAATAAATATATGTTCTAGAATGGAAGCTACTTTTTGATCGCTCCGTTCGATGTTCCAGGCTCAAGACCCAGTACGTGATAGAAGTTGTCTTCGAAACATGCAATAGTATTATGAAAGCTGCGAACCATTTGCGGAAGACATTGGCGGTATCGGAGGCTTGTAGGACAAATTGACGGGCGAATGGTGATCATGCCTCATGCTGAAGATTTCAGACCAGGTCTTGCAAGATTGTGAAAGCTGCTCGCCAAAGAAACGATTTTGCTGAACGAATCGGCCACATCATTCTGTCGATTTAATGACGCAACTCGTGGACTTTTAAGTTTCCGCACTAGGCCAACCCACTTCTCCCCTTTCAAAACATCTTCACTTAACAACAGGGTCTCATACTTTAAACCCGACCATAGTATTCATCTGTGGCTTAACATAAGTCCAGCTCCACTAGTATTTGTGAGTACTTCCCGAAGGTAAGTCCATATTCAAAGTGGCTCCACAATAGACATGGCTATATCCCCCCAACCATGCCTTGTTTTTATATACTGTTTCAACCGCCTTGTTCTGTCCCAGTCTTTGTCTCTCAGACCTCTGGAAATTTTCGCTATAAGTGCCTTAATTGAGCCCTGCTGCTCTTCGAATTATGACGAATTTAGAAGATGAAACTTCCGTCCGATCCGGAAACAGCTGCGGGCTGCTGAGTGAGCATTCTTACCAGGAGAAAAGAAAGTCGCGAAGCTGGTCCCGAAATGAGCAGCCTGCGAAGAGTGGAAAAGGAACCCACACATCGGAAGTGACAACGCAATGGTTTTGGAAAATCGTCTCGCTCATTCGCAACCAGTGCTTTTTCGTTGGTCTGAGCTTCGTCCTTGTGGTAGCCTCACAGGTCCAGGTTCCGCTAGCACAGCAGCAACTGAAGGAGACTGTGGTCACATACCTTTGTGTATCTGTCATCTCCTTCGTGACTGGGTGCACCTTATCCTTGGACGTACTCCTGCAGGACGCCTCACGATGGCGCCTCCATATATTTTGTCAATTTCAATCTTTCATTCTAAATTCTGCGATTGTCTTCGGTGTCGTCTCTGCGTGTGCTTTGAATCCCGAATTCATGGACGCCGAAATTCTGGTCGGCCTCATCTTGACTGGTTGTATGCCGACTACGATTGCATCTAACGTAGTGATGACGAAGCAAGCCAATGGCAACGAAGCTTTGACCGTTGTTCAAAGTATCATAGGCAATTTCTTGGGGCCCTGCCTAGCTCCACCTCTCATCTTGATGTATCTCAAAAGCGGTGCCTGGTACACAGACTTCGTGCCCAAAATAGACACTGGGGATTTTAGTGATATGCTCAAAAGAGTATTCAAGTTACTAGGGCTGTCTATGTTTTTACCTTTGGTATGCTGCCCTCGAAAATGGTCTAGTATCAATCTGAATGTGTCTGCAGTTTATCGGCCAAGCTCTTCGCTATTCTTTCCCAAATGCAACAACCAAAATTTTTACAGACTGGAAGGTCTCTAAGATCGGCATTGTAGCTCTGATACTCCTTTTATGGCAGACTTTTGATGGAGCGTGGGCCACAGACGCTTGGAGCACGGTGCCCCGAAGCAATACGATATTCATGATCTTCATATCAATCGCATTTTATCTAGTCTGGACGGTGATATGTTTCTGTTCATGTCTAAAAAGGTGTAGTAGGGAAGAGGCAGTCGCCGTGGCCTATATTGTCCCGGCTAAGACCCCCGCAATCGCTATACCATTGTCTGAAGCCATGTTTCCCGATATCGGATACAGGGCTGCGTCGAAATTGCAGCTTCCCATCGTTATGACCGCGGGTGTCCAGGTCATTTTGGGTAGTTTCCTGACTTTTTTATTTCGCAGGTGGGTTGAAAAAGGGCGTAGGCAGAAGGAGGGAGGTGTGGAAGACGGTACCAATGAGGGTAACGTAGAACAAGATAGAAGAAGTAGATAAGGGTATGATGAATTTGGGATGGAAACAAGCAATGCTGATGAGCTTGACGATGTTTGAGCTCCTTGAAGAAGAGACAATATACCGTGTGTATCATGTCTACAGATTTACTTACCGCCTTGTCTACGTTTCGACTTCTATATATGATTGATGGTAAGATAGAGGTCGCAGCTCGAATATCAGCGGAGAAGCGAGGCGCAATACTAGGCTTATCATAGAGTATGCACCACAGCCGCGATCAGTGTGTTTACCATGTCCTTCGAAGCGCCAGCCTTGAAGTTGACCATTAGTCGTACATACTGTCGAGTGCTTAGGGGGTTCTTTTTGTGGATCGACTTTTGATTTAGATCATCTTACACGATTAATAGAAGTTCTAGCCCGCCTCGCCCGCTTGGGTGGCACTCTAAGACGAATTCACCTATCGATAAGAATTAAATGTGGCTATGCAAATATCCTACAAAGCGCTAAGGAATGAACGCTTCCTGATATTGACGTTTTTTGATCATGGCTGCAAAGCCTGCAGAAGCAGTCGCGCAGCTATCTTGTAGGGAGCTGAGGCCCTAAGCCGGCCATTTCCCTGACTGACGGTTCATAGTAAATCACGGGGATCAAGAAAACAGGCATGACGAAGGTTCAGCAGCGAAAGCCGAGAAGGAGGACTCAGATGACGAGGATGAGTTTGTAGGACCAGATACTATATCTTCGGGTAGCAAGCAAACTCGAATTCCCTGACATCTGCAAGTTTGACAAAGTTGCAGCAGTAAAGAAGAAGAAGAAGCGAAAGCCCAAGAAAAAGAAAGCCGTAGGCAAGACGCAGACATCCCCTCCGCGACTAGCTGTTTCGGCTCTCTTTGCGAATGGAGAGTTTCCAGAAGGCGAGATATCAGAATACCAGAACGACAACAGCTACCGCACAACAAGCGAAGAAAAGCGTCACCTCGATCGGCTGAACAATGACTTCCTCCAAGAATACCGCCAAGGTGCCGAAGTTCATAGGCAAGTCCGCCAATGGGCACAAGCAAATATTAAACCGGGACAGACTCTGACTGAGATTGCGGAGGGCATCGAAGATAGTGTCCGCGCCTTGACTGGACACCCGGGACTAGAAGAGGGCGACAATATCAAGGGGGGCATGGGCTTTCCCACGGGGTTGAGCATCAACCATTGCGCAGCCCACTATACCCCGAATGCGGGAAACAAAATAGTTCTTCAACAGGATGATGTAATGAAAGTCGACTTTGGGGCGCACATTAACGGGAGAATTGTGGATAGCGCATTTACGATGACTTTCAACCCGACGTACGATAACTTGTTAGCAGCAGTGAAGGATGCAACGAACACTGGTGTGAGACAAGCAGGTATTGATATGCGAGTAGGCGATATTGGGGCTGCTATACAGGAGGTGATGGAAAGCTACGAGGTGGAGATTGCGGGTCAGACGCTACCTGTCAAGGCAATAAAGAATCTGAATGGGCACGACATTGTACAGTACAGCATTCATGGCGGAAAAAGCGTGCCGATCGTGAAGAGTAGCGATCAGACGAAAATGGAGGAAGGTGAGATCTTCGCCATTGAAACTTTTGGCAGCACCGGTAAAGGTTATGTGCGAGATGACGTGAGAGCCCGAGCAATCCTAAAGAAGGTCTTTCGTTAATGTCTTACAGATGGAGACGTCTCATTATGCCAAGCGAGCAGATGCACCGAATGTAGCCCTGCGGGTTTCGTCCGCCAGGAGCTTATTGAACTCGATTACAAAGAATTTTGGAACTCTACCTTTCTGCCGAAGATATCTTGATCGGCTTGGTCATGAAAAGTATTTGCTTGGGCTCAATAACCTTGTCCAAAGTGGTATTGTGGAGGCTTATCCACCTCTCTGCGATGTCAAGGGATCATATACGGCACAATTTGAACATGTAAGCTGTCTCGGCCATCACTTGGCATGTAAGCGGCTGATCTGGATTCTAGACGATACTGCTTCGGCCGAATGTCAAAGAGGTTGTTAGCAGAGGCGACGATTATTGAAGCCGAGGTCTACTTTGTTGCGGTCAGGAATGCTAAATGCAAATTCTGCTGTCATGATCCATACAGTGGGAGGTATCCTTTGCACCATAGGCACGGATTGCCAGTTTTGCCGCCAATAGTGTTCCCAGCATGTGAAGTCTGGTAATGATAACGAAAGTCAAATGAATCATCATATCGTCTTTTGGTGGAATGCTGGGCGAATATTATATTTTATCTTTGTCTATCGAAGAACTTAGAAAGCGGCGACATTACTTATGGCAAGTCATCATGGATATCGTTCCAGGGCCTGATACTGGTGGCCACCTAGTCTAAGCGTTTGTGGTCATTCTACTTGAGCTCGTTCTTAAGCTCCTTTAATTCATCATATTTAGCAAGGTGAGTTGGAATCACTCTATCGGTGTCTTAGCAAAAGCCAACGGTCACGCGGTGGAAAACATACCGTCCGCTAGGATCACTCTGCTCCGACCACGTTGGTTTCCATCTCATGACTGTTGAGGCACAGTGAGCAGGGAAATGTTCGTCGAACATCAACCTATACCAGTAAGCCTCTTTACTATCGGGAACATCGGACCCCCATTCAGGTCTGGGGCTTTTCATCATTTCGTCCGAAACATGGACTTCTGCATTGTCTTTTAAAGCATCGATCCAGCCATAGCCAACGCCATCACTAAACTGCTCCTTCTGTCTCCACAGTATGTTGTCTGGAAGATACGCTTTCGTACCTGGCTCATCTGTAGTGTCAAACGCTTTGCGAAGAATGTATTTCTCCATGCGGTCCTTCGTGATTAGTTTATCTGAAGGGTCGACGCTCATCGCAGCTTCGAGAAACTATCTATATTAGTACGATATCCTTGGCCGGTTGACACTACGTACCTCTTTGTCTAGGAATGGCACCCTAGCCTCCACGCCCCATGCGGCTGTCGATTTGTTTGCTCTTAGGCAGTCAGCGAGATGTAGATTCTGGATTCTGCGGATTGTCTCTGCGTGGAATGCTTCTTTGCTTGGAGCGGCGTGAAAATAGAGATAACCCCCGAATATCTCGTCGCTTCCTTCTCCACTTAGCACCATCTTCACACCCATAGCCTTGATCTTGCGACTGAGTAGAAACATTGGGGTTGATGCGCGGATAGTAGTCACGTCGTAAGTTTCAAGATGGAAAATGACATCTTGGAGGGCGTTGAGCCCATCTTCAATGGTGAATGTGAAATCGTGGTGCTTCGTCCCAAGATACTTTGCTACTTGCACTGCAGCCTGCGTATCTGGCGCACCTGGTAGACCAATGGAGAAAGAATGCAATTGAGGCAACCAGGTAACGGTAGATAACTCGTTATCATCATCGATACCTACGAGATCCTCGGCTGACTGTTGTTCATAATTATTGACGCCATTGTCTCTTCTCATTGAAGAGGCCCGTAGCCTCAACGTTTCTCTCTGGGCAATTGCAGCTACCAAACTTGAATCAAGACCGCCCGACAAGAGTACGCCGTACGGAACTTCAGCCATGAGCCGCTTTCGAACAGATCGCTCCAGAGACGTTCTAATGCGTTTATAATCTACGGGCGCCGAAGGAACCTTTGTTGGATCCCACCATGGAGGTTGAAAGTACCGGGTCATCTCATCAGACTTCGAGTCATAAATGTGTCCTGGAGGAAATGTAATAATCTTATCGCATACCGGATGGAGACACTTCAGCTCGGATGCAAAGTAGACTGCTCCGGGCGTCTGACTTGACCACCCCTGATAGAAACTTGTAATGCCTACAGGATCTCGAGCTGCCACTGTGCGGTCATTGAGTTTATCGTACAGAACCCATGAAAACATGCCGTCGAGATACTTTGGAGCATCAATTCCATGCTCTGCATACTTACAATGGTCAGACGATAGACAAATTATACTTGAGAGCATGACCCTACCAAAGGTATTATAACCTCACAATCAGAATGAGTTTTGAAGTTGTAAGGCTGCTTCAACTGTTTTCTCAAGACTCTATGGTTATATATCTCGCCATTGACGGCTAATGCCAGTGAACCGTCGTCATTCACAAGGGGCTGAGCGCCAGTATCTGGCAATCACTTAGTCGCGCCCAGTATTTGGGCCGCAATTGTACTTGCCGACGCCAACGATGCTCAATCTTTCGTGAGCGAGGACTATGCTTGATGTGAGTATTACAGCAAACTAACCAAAGGAGCGATAGGACCTGTATTGACTGCAACAAAGTTTCCACCTAGCTCAATTTCAGCACACTGTCAATGACAGAGATCCATTGTCGCTACTGACTCCAATCTGGACCTCGGTGTCGAGCACTAGGCCACTCACGTCAATGCATCATGCCAGTCAATTTGCTGAGCTGAGACGTACGCCTTGGCCATCCGCAATGCGGTGGGTTTAAACTTTTGGACATCTGGGTGGCTTAAAAAAATTAAAATCATTGCTAATAATGTGGGGGCTGGTGTCCTCTAGCTTACGAGTGACAAGCAAATATCCCACACATTTTAAAGAACAGGTGAGCATTTAGAGCGTAAGTTGTTGATGGTTGGTGTGTGATGTACGTCTAAACAGGTGTGTTAAGAGTCACATTAGCCGGAACCTTAGCGCGAGCTATATTCCGTTCATCACAAGATGTCGTTCGATGTGACAAGACCATCGATCATTCTTGTAAAGCCATTCTGCATGCAATCTTTGTAACAACAGTGATGGATATGTACTATTGACCTGAATGCAACAAGACTTTTGCATTAAAAGTTGCAAATTTGCTGTTATCTACAACATTCCTGTGGTTGTTGGTAGGATACCGATTTCATTAAATGACTAATTTTTCAGTCTGTTCGTGTGCTGCGTCACTCTGGTGATGCAAAGTTGCCGAGACTCGAGTCAGGTTACGGACAGGGTTCTCACAGCTATAGTCATCCTCGCATCCACCTTCGCAGGAGCAATGTCAAAATGCATGCCATTCGCACCCTTCCTTCGGGTGCCGCTCGTTATTTCCGTCAATTAGTCGCTCGTGGGCGTGACATCGAGCTTACATCTAATTATCCACGTTGCCAATGGCGTGCCCTTGCGCTTCAAAAATCCTGTGGCATCCTCACGGAGCTGGATTGTCCTTGACAATGCTTCTCACCCTCTTCTCATACCCTGCACGGTCCTTTTTGAATAGGTTGTACGCATCGGCCTGCGCGGGCGACTCCGGGTTTGGCTCATTCAGCAACTCCTGAACGCCGAGGAGGATTTGCTTGATGGTGATGGCTGGTTTCCATCCCTCCTCTTCGTTCAAGATTGACAAGCAAACAGTCCCGGAAGGATAGACATTTGGATGGAATAGCGGAGGAACAAATTTACCTTAGCAATAATGAGTATTCGGCGCGGAATTACATTGAAGGGGGCAGCACATTTGGGGGGCTTAGTAGGATACTCTGTTAGATTAGGTTAGCAGATGGTATTGCCATTCCTACCCTGAATTTACCATCTGGGAAAGTAACATCCATTTTGAACAGACCTCCTTCCCAAAGTGTCTTGTCTTTGCCAGGAACACCACACTCCCATTTCTTTAGGTCTAAGACCCCTTGGGCGTTGCGAACCGGACGAGCGTAAAAGCCAAATGGATGATCACGTCGCCACTGTTTTCTGCATGACAACACGCGCCTTAGTACAGCCAGATCGCTTGAAACATTCGCTTTGCTTTACCTTTCCTCCCCCAAACGGTTTTGACAAAGCGACATTATTTTGCCGGGATCCAAGGTGGGGGAAGCCTCGAGGAGCCTTTGAATTCTATGCACTCAAGGAAAAATTCGAGCTCGTCGTGAATCACGTCAATTGTATCTGACTTGACCAGCTCAAAGCAATATTTTGTTTAATCTCGAGGAGAAGATGGAGGGTGAAGCTTCTTTGCCATTGCGAACCTTTATAACAATGTGGAACGAGGTGTGTGAATGAGGAATTCTAGATGCCCCACGCGCCACTAAGGTACAGCCACATCTTGGCGTCGCAATCGACACCCACCTCATTCAAGGACCCTCCCTCACTAGTAAATCTGGGCTACCACGCAATGATCGGCAATATTTTCGACTTTCATGCTCCGTACTATGGACTCGAAAGAGAATGGAGGAGGCGGCCGCGAGGCAACGAAGGCTTTCTCGGATGAGTCTGATAAAGATGCACCTGATCCGGAGGAAGGTGATTTGGACGACCTGGATGGTGTGTCTGATCTTGAAGCCATAGCTATGTTGTGTGGCTGGCTCATCCCTTTACAGACATGCTCGATGAGTTCTCCACAGCAAAAGCCAGCCAGTTCCAAGATCCTAACTCCGAGCCCATCCCACATCCATCTGATAAGGAGACGCCAAGTGAGAGTGCTGCCGAGACGAACGCCTTCAGCGAGGATCTGCAAGAACAAATGGCTGCACTTTTAGGCGAAAGGAACAAATCGCCAGAGGTAGAACAAGGGCTCGAAGCCATGATGAGAAGTTTGGGCTCCGCCAACAATGCCAGCGAACCTTCTATCAGCGACAAGACACCCCTGAATGCAGAAGAATCGTTCCGAGACACCATTCGTAAAACGATGGAAAGAATGCAGACGTCAAGCGATCAAGCCGGCTCAGCCGGGCACGGAGATGGAACCGATGACTTCATGGGTCAGATGCTCAAGGAGTTGTCGGGTGGTGAAGTGCCTGCCGATGGAAATGAAGAGGGCTTTAACAAGATGCTGCTAGGGATGATGGAGCAGTTGACGAATAAGGAAATTCTTTACGATCCAATGAAGGAGCTGCACGACAAATTTCCGTCGTGGATCGAAAGAAACCATAATAACATTGACCCCCGGGACATGAAGAATTTTTACGAGCAGCAGAAGCTTGTTGGTGAAATCGTAGAGAGATTCGAGCGACGAACATATTCAGACTCTAATACTGCAGACCGTGAATTCATCGTAGACCGAATGCAGCAAGTCAGTTTCCGCAGCGACGTCCCACATGCTTTTATCCACTAACACAATCAAGATGCAAGCTGCGGGAAGCCCTCCGGCAGATTTAGTTGGCGATATGGACGCTGCAGATACTCTGAACAGTATCGATACTGGTTGTGCTCAGCAGTAACACATCAAAACTCATGTTCGGACGCACCTTGACGCATATTTGCTAATGCGTAATTGATCCGCCCGATGCGTGATCCTAGTAGCACAAAACTACAATACTGTTCTTAGGTGTAATACACATCGAGCCCTGACCTGCGTTGTCTACCCTGCGCTGATGTCCATGTCCTGGCTGCTGCAACCTTCACATAGGCTGGCATTCTTGTCGCTTGGGTCACAGGCCATAAGATTTGTAAGGAGCTGATCTAATTCTTCATCTTCATTGTCAGCGGTGTCATTCCCGAACTGATTCCGTTCCTCTGAGGAAGAAGTTTCAGCCCAGAATATTAGCGACTCCAGAGCTTCACGCTCTTGACGAAGCGCATCGTCTGCGACAGCTCCTGAATCTGCGTATAGTAAGAAAATGTGCGAAAGTACGAATTGGGTCGGATCCAAAAGACTGACCAGAATCAAATGAGTCACTGTGATGGTCTTCCTTGTTATCTTCATCCCAAACGCCGTGATCATCAGGAGCAGAAAGTGCTTTTTCCAACTCCCATGATCTTCTTTGATCCACATACTGTTGACGGAGAATCTGCACATTTGTAAGATGAGGTCCCGGCGGTCAAATATCTGTAAAAGAACTACCTGGTCACTACGCTGGGCCCAGCGGTATTCTTCACTGACATGGCGGACTCTGTCGAGGTACTTCTGTCGACGAAGTTCCTGTGCATTGCTTGCGTGCTGCTGACTCGCATGTGGATTTTGTGGGGATCGTCGTTGGACATGCTTGGGCGGCGGACTAAATTCGATTTCTTTCGATGTCATTTTTGGTGATGGAAAGAGTTGGACGTTAGAGTCGCGCTGCGCAAATGCATTTCTTCCAACCCAAGGAGAGGAGGAATAAGCCGCGAGAGCCTCTAACATTCTGCTGAGTGATGTGCGCGCAATGATCAAACACCAAAGCAGATTTGGTAGACGCGTGATCGCGTCCAAGGTCAGCCCTACGAATGAGACGGCACGGACGGCTCCGAAGTCCCGAAGAGTAATGATACCTCTACCATAGCCCCGAAGAGCCCACTACGATACGAGGTCGACATTAACGGGTGTAATGCTTTAGGGTGGGTGAGATCTTACGTCTAGCTGTCAACTATTGTCTATTTCATTCGTAATTCAAGATTTTTTCATCAGACCGCCCCGTGTCTATGCTGCATTCGTCCCGAACGATTTCGAACTCCATGATGCCGCTTGCTAATTGATAGGGAAGGAAATACGACGACTAGAAATTCGATGCGGTATTAACAGGCGCATGAGTCTGATCCAGATGCGAGCGAAAAGGATCACTGACGCTGCTACGCTTCTCCCTGCCAGAAGATCCTGGTTGGGATACCGTCAGGTCGTCATCGTCTTCCGCGTTGTGGCCCCTCCTTCGACCCCAGATTCTCCAAGCCACTACTGCCAGGCCACCAAGTAGGACTGCTCCTCCAATACCACCCACAACACCACCAATGATTTTCTTCGAAGAAGATGATAGCCCGGGGCTGCCTCCATTTCCATTGCTGCCGTTCAAGGCTGGTGACGACGACGCCGATGCTGCAGCAACAATCCGACTAGATGTAGCTACACTGCTGATGACGCTTGTACCACTCGTGGAGACAATCGTAGTCGTGACTGCCTGCGTAATACTGCCAGTAATTTTAGAGCGAGTTGTTGCCGTGGCTGATCCCGAGCCACTCCTGGCATTCGGTGAAATTGTCGAAGATTGCGTAGGGGATAGAGTGGTAGAAGTGGGACTCGTTGATGATATATCCACTGAACCTGTGGAGGCAACGCTCGATGTATCTGGGGAAGAGCTGATAGAGTCTGTAGAAGGTTGCGAGGTCGTAGGAATTGGACTCGAGCTCTGTGGCGTAGGCTCCTGTGACGGACTTGAAGCGCTTGTTGGTGACGAACTGGCGCCTGTTCCCAGAGGAACGATTTGTCGGGGTATGAGTTTGTCGATATCAACAGCGGCTGAGAGAACTGATAGAGTCAGGAGTAGGAGCCATACTGAGTGGCCCACCCGAATCATGACGGATCGTAAATACGTTGAAGGAAGCGGGTAAGGGCGGCGGATGATTCTAGGACGATAATCTATGCGAAACGGATTGTTCCAGTAGAATTCCTTTGGAGATTATGTGTTCGATCGTTGTAGGTTTAGGGTCGTGTGAGGACAATGAGGAGCGGTCTTTGAAGGTTATTTCGATATTTTCTAAGGGAGGACAAGAACACGAGATTTCGGGTGGCTCAATCATAGCGTCTTGGCGGCTTCATATTATTCTAGACTCCCGTCTTGCCGAGACGCCCCCCTTTTCCTTAGACCTTAGATTGGCCTTTGTTCGCGGAGCTTGAGCTGCGCCCTTATGCAGGTCGACTTTGTACCTGCGTAATCTTTATCCAAATCTGCGCGTCATGCTAGAGGACTGGCACGCTCTACCTCTACACGAGGCGTTGTCTGGCGCGAGTGGCAGTGTTTCCCTTGCTGCTTGGATCTTCGTCCTAGTCAGTCATGCTGATGGATTGCACACCTCGTCGCTATTACTTATCATCTGGGGCAGGTACCACAACTGATTGAGAACTATCGAACTGGCAACGCGGATGCAGTCTCGCTCATCTTCCTTGCGGTCTGGTTTGTTGGAGATATAACGAACCTACTTGGCGCCGTATTGTTGAAACTCGTCTCTACAGTCATTGCTTTAGCAATCTACTTCTGCATTGCTGATACCGTTTTGATAATCCAATGTTTGTACTATAGAAGACTGAAACAACGCGAAGTTCAATCTCAACTGCATGACTCGCCGGACGACAATGTGCGCGAGCCACTTCTGAGTAATATCGGCCTTCCTGGATCAAGACATAATTCCATGGCTTCTCCCAAGCCCAAAGATCTTTCAGCTAGGTCAATTAACTCAGTCGTCTCGCGAGAAGGGAAGTGGCTCGCTAGCGCTTGGACATCGAATTTTGTTGGAATTCTGGCGGTCTGTCTTGTTGGCGTTGCTGGATGGACCATTGCCTGGATCGTAGGATTGTGGCGGCCGACTCAGCAGATGGACGGAAACGATGTAGCAGCCGGACCAGTCGGGGCTGTGGTCCTTGGGTACGTATCAGCAGTAGCTTACTTGGGGTAAGGTTCTCCTGACGTTGTCTTTTGAACTGGAAGCTCAATTGTCTAACGGCTAGGGCGCGTATCCCTCAAATTGTGAAGAATTATCGGGAGCGATCCTGTGAAGGTCTTGAACCTTCTTCTTCTTCTTCACATTCTGACTAAAGAAGCTAAGATGAAATTCAGGACTGTCTCTATTGTTCTTCCTCTTGTCTCTGCTTGGCAATTTGACCTACGGTGAGTTTTGGAGTCATAACTCGAGTGACAAAAGGGTAGTGCTGACTCCGATTTGATAAAGGTGGCGGGGTAACTTTAGTATCGGAACTGCTGCCTCGCAAATTGCTAATGCGTCGCAGATACTCTTTCATTCCGTGTCATCACGCTATCTGCTACTCAATCTTCCCTGGCTGATTGGATCGCTGGGTACGATGGGTGAGGACGCCTTGATCTTCGTGCAGTTCCTTCTCTATTCCAGACAGGGGGATTCTTCTAGCGAAGCAATACTAGATTGATCAGTGATACCCAATTGCAGGCCCTGCCCACGAGATACAAGAAAGGCTTCTTCAACAAGGGACTCCTGTTAGTATGAAGGCACGTAGTGCATACCGTGCGATGCGATCCGCACTCAACATTGCCAGGTTATGGAATAACAGGCTGAAGTGTCAGGAGAGACGTTGGGCCACGGGTGGATGCTTCGATTGTCAGGCGATGGGTTTCAATTAACGGCTGCAGAAAAAGCACTTTGAACTCGAAGAGCAATGCTGGCTACATCAAGTCCGCCCATATGAAAGGCGTCAATCTTGTTCGTACTTATCGTATGTCATGTATTGATGATGAGACGTCCTCCCTCAATCGAACAGTCCAAAGCCCATGTCCTCATCTGACTCCTCCTTCTCCTCTTCCTTTTCTTTCTCCTTCTCTGCTGGAGCTTCACCTGATGCAGCTCCGCCTTCGCCGGCTACAGCAGCTGGGGCAGCCGCGCCCCCTCCACCGGATCCCACATTCAAAAGCAAATCCTTAACGTTCTTGCCCTCAAGAGCCTACGATCGATTAGCATTTGCGCGCCCAAATTTGGAGAATGGGTCGACGGACTTTTGCAAACAGTGTTGTCCATATAGCCTCCACATCGTCGACATTCGCGGCTTTGATCAACGTTTGTAGCTTGTCGGCCTGCCAGGTGTCTAAGCTTGCTTCAATTCTGTGAAAGGGTTGTACATACAGTGATGTCAATATCTTCGTCTGCCAGTATCAGCGCAGCATATGAAGCTGCTAGCTCTGATTGAGACATTGAGCCGTAGAAATGTTGTAATTCTGCGTGAAGAAAACCGGGAGTGATGTACGAGGCAAGTGGGTTCTCTAGTTAGCTCGCTTGCGATAGGACTGAGTGTATCTTAGCGTGTATTTAAATCGTCCTCATCTTGGCACTCTAGGCACTGTGAGGTCCCCGCGGTGGCCCGCATTGCACCCCTCCGTTGCTTACCAGCGTTCCATCTTCCATTAATGTTTGTCCTCGTAAAAAAGAATCAAAGTCGTCTACTCCCTATTCTTTACCCTGGTTCCTGGCCCATCTGGTTGCCATTGATTCAATAAAGGGTCTAAGATGACGGATTCACCTGCTATCCAAGCACCTTTAGACCCTAAAGAGGAACCAATACTTGCTCGCGTGCTCGAGCTTAGAGACAAGCTCTCCATTTTGAAGCAGGATAAGTCAACATACGTCAAGTCTCAGGACATCATACCTATCTACGAGCAGGTCATAGAGCAGGTACAGTCCTTAAATACCATCAGGACCGACCATGGGAAGCCTTTGGAATCAAATCGAGGTTGGTTGTTTCGCGTCGTTCAAATGGAGTAGAAGGCTCATTTGTACTCGCCATAGTTGATCGGGTTTTGGACGACGCTTTCCAGCTGATATCGCTGTTCTTTCTCACCATTGGACGTAATAATGATGCTCCTGCAGTGTTCGTGAACATCCTCATAGAAGAAGAAGCTGAACTGTTAATGCCTTCCAGATACTCCTTCACCTCCACTATTCGAGTAAATCGATTTCTTCCTGATTTGTTTCACGTATATACTAATCAAAGTCCAGCGTCTTCTAGATCATCTCAAAGAAGCCGCTTTTTTCTCTGCCAAAGATCTCGAATCTATTGGCCACAATTTGGACAAGATGCAAGACGTTATAAAACGTGGGAAGGAGCACCATCCACCGCATCTATTGACGCTCCTTCAGAATCGCATGGACATTTGTTGGAATATACTCGCGGAGCTGCGCGACTCATTAAGCAACCTCTCACCAACCTTGACTCCAATTCATGAAAGACTGGTGTCCATACTAAGATCAATATCCGCTGCAAACACTCGATACAAGGTAAAAACTTCCAAAGACTAGTTGACCCGTTTAACTGACCGACTACCAAGTTTCCGTCGGGCGAAGTAGAAGGGTTTCGCAATCAGCTCAAGGAGATCAAAGCAACAATGGTCAATGGCCAATTTCTGGGGGAAGATAGTACGGCTCCTTCAGGTCAGGATATTGTCACGACATTGCTTGATCGTTGTCTTCTATGGTCTGATATCGTACTATCCAGGTGTGTATTACTCAAGAAGGTGACATCAATTTGTTAATCACAGCGCTCACAGACAGGGTAAAATTGATCAAAGGTTCAAGGAGACTTATGAAAAATTGTCAGATATACGAAATCAGCTCGAACGGCTGAGTCTGACGCAAGCCTGGTCTCTTCGAGAAACCGACCTCTATAACTTTCAGCGCCAACTAGACCGTGTAGACGAAAGTCGTATTAACGGCAACTTCGAAGACGGAGGCGGCAACCTAGCTGACCTGCATGCGCAAAGGGTACTCAAAGATAGAATCTTTTCCTCTACGGTAGATGATAGCTGACATGAGCGCCCCAGACTCTGCTCTATCTTTTGAGACGGAGCTACGCGTATATATACCAGCTCATGATATCATCAGAGCCTGTTTCGGAAGCTCTTCTTCCTATTTTCAATCAATTGCAAACCTTGCGTCGATGTTTAGTCGAAGTCAAACGATCGGGAGGTGTCACTTCAGCGCGAGAGTTATACCCCTATAGCATGAAGGTAAGCCTTCGCTCGATCAGATGCACTATTGTGAGTCCAGGCCTAATTATTGTTTACAGCTGTCATCTATTGATAACATGCGGGTGGACGGAAAATTTATGGTCGGCACGGATATTCCAGAAGGACAAGGAAGTGTTAGTGTGCTTCTGGCCGAATGCTTCGAGCTGCAACATGATCTCAAGATCGAGGCTGAGGAGCGCGAAGCAAAGGTCCCTGGAAAAGACGACCAATAACTTCCTTTACTGCATATCATCATGGGGTCTTAGCGATGGTGTTGGTACTGGTGCGGAATTTCTCAAGCTCGCACTAATCAAATGCAATAATAAACGTAAGACAAGGCTACGAAGCAAGAATGTGTGTCAAGTATTTCATTTGAGTGTTCGTGGTGTTTTCCCGTCACGACACATTCATCAAGGCGTTATCTGAGCAGACACAGTTGGGCGATCTAGGACTTGCTGCCCCAACGGTAATTGTGAACATAGATGCCCATGTTCTCTCAACGCATGAAGCCTGGCTTGCCATCTCCATCGGCATCCTTCTTCGGGTTGATCTTGTCAAAAATCGAGGGCTTCTTCTTCGTTGCCGTTGTGTCTGAAGCGTGACTACCAACAGGATCCATGCCACTGCTACTACCAGTGTGATGTGTTGGTCCTGTGCCGGTCATTGGGGTGTGGGTACTAGTGCCAGCAGTACCAGAAGTTTGGGCCAGGCCCGCGTTACGTGACCCATCTCGGTCAGAATCAACTGCGCATGAGGTCAAAATACAAATGTTTAAAAACATTCTTGAACATACCTCGTGGGTCTAATTTCTGCTGAAGCTTCGACTCTTGACCAGGACCAACACCAGCGCCATGGCCGGTGCCGTAACCTGTACCATGACTTGAACCGTGACCCGGGGTTGTGCTTATAACCGCATCATTTCCGGTCCTGGAGCCAGTCGGGTGTTGTCCCGTGTGATCACTATGTTTGGATCCTAAATCCATGGCAGTACCAATAGCCTTAGGTTCACCCTCAAACCCATCAGAGCGCTCCTCACGACCAGTCAATGCTCCACCTTGCTTCTTGAAGTCGGCCATGCTGATAGCCGGCAGGGCAGATGCAGCATGGTGCTTCGCGTCATTGTGATGGACTTCATGGACAGGAACAGTAGTGTGCATCACAGAGGGCTGTATTGTCTCCTTCTGGACTACGGGTTGAATGGTCTGTAGCATTGTCAGTACGATTGAATGCGGTGAAGTTCTGCAGCACATACTTCATGAACATGATGGTGAACATGCTCTCCAGCGACGACAGGGGCGACTGAGTGCGTTTCTTTAGTGCTTCCTTCCACACGTGTGTTCTGGAATTGTGTTCTCTCATGTTCAAGGTTTCGCTTCAATGCATCGACATTCCCATGGTGATGCTCGCGGTGCTCGACGGGAATAACACGCTCGTGATGCTGCTCTGGTAGGACTTCACGATCCTTGACAGGCTGAACGGCGGTGTGATAATGGTCCTGATGAACTTCTTTGTCGATAGCTGTAGTAGTCTCTTCATGATGGCGCTTCTGAATGGTCTCGTTCGTAACAGCTGGGGCTACCTTCTCATGGACTGTTGTGTCTTTAAAAAATTTAGTTTATGTGATCAATTATATCTTCTACCGTTGGAGAAATAGGAATTCTGACCATGGTGACCTGACTTATGTCTAGCAGAAATGTCAGCGGATCGCACATCTAGATGAAGAGTTGGTTGACAAGATGATAGTTGCCAGTTCATATGGAAACAGTGAAGATATGTGTTGCATCGATCACAAGAACATGAAGAAATTGCGTTGGTGCAACAAAGGAAGGAGAAACAGAATCTTACAGGAAATCCGAAACTGAAGCTTTCGCTTTATCCATGCTGGAGGTGAGCAGTGCAACTGTATGAGTGATCAATAATAGGCGTATTGCTGAGGGTAGTTTGAAGAGTGTGGGAATGAGATAGAGAGAACAAATGCGGAGAACACAGGGCAGCGACAATATAAATGGGCGGCAGTCGATCTAGCTAGATACCGCAAGAGGGAGGGGAAGCTGGTGAAGGGGTAACCGGGTAGCCGCAGGAGCAGAATCTTGATTGCAAAGGAGTCGACGTTACTCCACGGAGGATTGCCAATTGCGTTTCTAGTGACAACTCAATACGCCCCCACGTGTACGATCCGACCCAAGGCCTCCAAAACAGGTTTGACAGGGCCTACTCGTATAGGCTATGGAAAAGCACCAAAGTCGATGAAATGTCGTCATGGTGGGGAGGAACGTTCGAATGGTGGTGACGGAGGGACTTATTTACGTCAGAAGTCACGGTCTAGGCTCGCTCCAATCAGGTTATCGTACCGCGCTAATTATGCATCTAGGCGCGTCCAAGCCACATGCTGCAGTTTATGACGAAAAAGGCCCGACGGGGCCTTGGTGTCCACATCCTCCGTTCTGAAGGAGCAGCTTTGCTTTGCCTATTTCGGACCACGGTAGATGACCGATTGAAGCGTGAATCATCCCGCTGTAACGTCTTAGCTGTTTGGTGCTTCCTGGTTTGTTGCCGCATTGAGTTAGAGCCGTACAAAGGAACTAGCTAATCCACCAACACATCCATCTCGTAAGTCACCAGTTGTCATGATGAGCCCCTAAAATATTAGAAGACGACTTAAGGGCGTTGTTTCAGCGACGACGTTGAATACTGTAGCAAGACTCCTGCGCCATAAATCGTCAAAATGGCATCGCGCATCAAACGTCTATTGCACCGTGACCAGAGGGGGAGTAGCCCTTCAAACAGACGTTCTCACGATGACGAGCGTGACTTTCAGACGGTGCCTTACGGGTCAACATCTGAAGGCCTGCTACCGAGTAGCCCAGACTCGATTCACGACCAGGACCGCGCCAGTTTTGATAGAAAGAGACTGCAAGCTACGGATCGCATACACGACAGGGAGAGGCTTCTTTCCGACCCTTCCATACAGCCACATCCTTACGCTGGTCAGCCGGCTGATCTCCCTGCTCGGAAACCGGTCAGCAAGGTGTATGTCGAAGGCAACAATCGACAGTCCGGAGTGTCGACGATCAAAGTCGTGAAATCCGCCCCATCACCCACGGATCTGCCTTTCCGCCCTTCAAGAAAACCAGCAACCCAATCTGACGCAACCACGACTGTTGTAGATCCTACTATTGGGGCACAAAAAGTCATAGACCGCGCCAAGAGCAGCTCCAACGAGACTCATGTTACTACGAGTATTGCACCAGGTACGGAGACTCGATATTGATACCAAACTGTATGACAAGACGTAGACTGAGTTCGTGTCTAGCTGTAACGCATGAGACGGTCCATCGTGAGATGCGCCATGTCCGTGAGGAGCGAATCACACGCGAGGTCCACAATCACGAGATCTATCATCGAGTACAGCCAATAATTGATGTCGAGGTACTTCCGACACGACATTTCTTGCCGATGGGGAACGGTGAATTGTTAGAAGTGAGTGGAGACGATGTTCCAGGGCGTGAGAAAGCTTGGGTTATTGCAGAAACAGCATCGAAGATCGCGACAGACGATCCAAAGCCCACAAAGCCACCTCAGTTCACCGCGCGGACCTTCGCGAATGGCGAAGGTGATGACCAGAGGTATATTACTTCTAAAGGGTACGAGAGGACAGAGCAGACTTGGATTCATCCACCTAATTATTCAACACAAACCTAGAACAAGATTAAATTAAGCTCTTAATATAATACTTATTTCTAATCTTTTTATAACTTTAACTAAGAAAAGTAAAGAACTATAACTAGTATAATATTAATTAATAAGTAAATAAACTATTATAGTTCTAGAGTACTAAGTACTTAATATATATAAAATAAATATTAATAAATATAAGACTTATCTTATTTCTAGCCTATTAGTAAATAATTCTAATAAATTAATTTTATACTATATTTTATTTTATTTACTTATCTAGTTTATAATACTTTAATAGTAATTATTATACTATAGTTTATTATATATATATAGAAGTATAAATAAGTAATCTAGTTTATTAAAGAGTAGAGAAATATTTTAAAAACCTATTACTAGAGGTAAAAGAACTTATATTAAATAATAAGGATCTTTACTTTTTTATAATAAAAGTTAGTTTTTCTTTTATAGTTTTTCTAAAATATTTATAAAATTAAATACTTATTAAAAACCTATTATAAAATCTAGTAAAAGCCTTTTTTAATTATATTTTTAATTATAATAGAAAGTAGCTACTAGAAGTAGAAATATACTTAGTAAAGGAGATATTCCTTAATTTTATAATAAGTTATATAAATAGGTAAAGGAACTCTTTTTTATTATATAGAAGTTATATATATATATACTAAGACCTCTTCTATAATAGGTACCTATTAAAGAAAAGGAAAAGTAATACTTTTATTACTATATATATTTAAAGATATTATATTAAAAACTATATAATAATATAAATAATAAATTAATCTTATTATTTTTATATATATAATTATTTTAATTAATAAAGTTCTTTAATTAATAATATTTTTATAGTATTAGTTAATACTATAGCTATAACTATAATAAGGTTTTATAATTTTTTTAAATAACCTTAATAAGAGCTTAAAGCTAATTAATAATAGTATATAATAAAGGCTTAGGATTAGTAGTAATAGTAGTAGAATATACTATTTATTATAGGCTAGTATAGGTTTAAAAGTATTTTAATTTATTATTAATAAAAAAGTAATAATAATTATAAATATTAATTAAATTTTATAATTCTAAGAGTTACTTAATATTATATTAAAGATTATTTTTATAGTTATATATTCTCTATTTAATTAAATAGTATAGAATATTTATAAATATTATATAATAATTAATAAAGGCTTTAATCTTAAAAATATCCTTATTTAAATATTTATCTTTAATTACTATAGAAGAGTATTTATTTAATATATATTTATAAGAGTTAGGAGATACTAGTAGCAGTTTAACTATGTAATTAAAACTATTAAATATATATATATTAGGAAGAAGCTCTAGTTTATAGGCTAGGTTATTAACTTTTTTAAAAATCTTAAAAAACCTAACTTTCTATAGTTTTAACTTACTATTAAAAAGGCTAGGAATAGAATAGCTATAGTAAAGTACTATATAAGCTTTATTACCTAGATTAAGGGTAGTAAACTAATATTTATTATTATATTAATATTTTATTATAATAGTACTAAATACTATTATCTTTTTAACTACCTTTTATTTTATTTATTTTAAAGTTTAATAGTCCTTTACTAGGAGGTCTACTAGTACTATAAGATTATTATATACTTAAAAGCTATAGATAAGTTTATTAAGTAAGAACCTAATAATAGTATTAAATAAGTTATTAAATATAATAGTAATAAAAGGTAGGAAAGCTATTTAGTTATTTACTATATATTATAATATATAGAACTATAAAGCAATTTTAATAAATTAGTTAATATATTTTAATTATTTATTTATTTAAAGATAATATAATATAGAGGTTAATATTTTAATACTTAATTATTTAAAGATTACTTTCTAGAATATAAATATAATTTATTTATTTCTATTAAATATAAAAGTATATAATATACCCTAGTTATAATAAAGGAATATTATTAATTACTTATTTAAAAGCTTTTTATATATCTTTACCTAGTATTAAAATAAGTTATTTAAAAGATTTATAAATAATAGTTACTAGTATATTAAAGCTATTAGTAATAAGTAGTATTTCTATTATAACGTCTATAGTAATAGTATAAAAAGGTATTATTACAACCTTATTATAGCGGAGTAGTAATAAAAGTAAAACGATAATAGAATATAAAGTTTAGAACTAAAAAGTCTAGAATTTATTAATAATTAATTAAATTAAAACTCTTTTAAAAAACTAGAACTATTACTATTATAAAACCCTTACTTATTATATAGTATTTCCCCCTATAGGGAAAGACTAGTACTCCTACTTAATAAATATATTCTAGAATAAGTTCTCTACTATATAATTATATATAATATTAAATAATTATTATATATTATTATTTCTTTTTAGAATTTTTATATCTAGATACTTAATTAATTATAAAAATAAAAGAAGTTTAAAATTATTAAATAATAATAATAAAAGGTAGTATTATATTTTTAGTTTAAGATTTTAATCCTAAGCTATTATAGATTTTATTAGCTAAAATAGAACCTTAATTTATTATAAAGTTATTTTTAAAACCTATTATAGTCTTTTATTATTTAGTTTTCTTTATATAATATATTGTTTTATATTTTATATTACTATATCTTAGTAGTATTTTTTATATTTAGTATAAAAGATCCCTTTCTAATACTTTATATATATAATAGATTAAAAGGCTATGTTAGCTTAGTTTAAAATAGTTATAATAAGCTTATATCTAAGGCTTTATATTTTTATAGATTAAGTTCTAATTCTAGTTATATCCTAGTATATAATTTAGTTATTTACTTCTATAATTTAGTGTTAAGCTATAACTTATATAAGTTCTTTAAATATTTTTTTATATTTTTTAATTATTAGATTTTTTATTTAATATATTAATATTTTATATTTTAGTTTTATTTATTAATTTAATATTTCTTTTTTAATTATTTATTATTTAAATCTTTTAATATATTAAATTTATAATTTTAATTATTAAAATTAAATATTTTATTTTATTAAATATTTTATTAAATATTTATTTCCTAGGATTTTATTATTTCAATTTATTCCTTTATTAAAATATATTTAAAGAACTTTTTAATAATAATTTTATTACTATATAAGTAGAATTAGAGGTTACTACTTATATTTTTTCTATTTTTTTTATTTTTAATAATTAATAATTAATTTTTTTTTTAACTTAAGGATATATAATTTAATTTACCTAAGTTAAAAATCTTAGAAATATATTCTAGTTATTATAATCTATAATAAAAAGCTTATATAATATTAATTTCTAAAATTTTTAATTTATTTTTTTAGGCGCCTACTTAGGGTAATATACTTATCTTTATTAAAAAATATATTAGCTTTTTAGCTTTTCTATAATATTTTTAATAATAGCTTTAGTTTATTAATATTATAAGTCTATTAATAAAACTAAATATAATTAACTATTAGAGATTTTTTAACTATATTATAATAATATTTTATTAATATAATATTTTATATTATTATATTTTCTATTAATATAAAAGACTATAATAGTATATTTTTTTAATTATAAGTTTATTAATTTAATAGTAATAGAAATATATTTAAGAATTATAGTTTAATATATATATATATTAACTTCTTTAAGCGCTACCTATATTTTAATTAGTTTATTTTTTAAGTTTTTAAATTTTTTTTTTACTTTAAATATAATTATTAATAAACCTTTATCTAGTTCTTTACTTTTATTTAATATTAATATTTTTTTATTTTTACTAATATTTTAAAATTTATTATTAATAACTCTAGAATTTAGTACTATTATATTTCTTAGTTTTTTTAATATAAAATATATTTTTTTTATTATTTAGCTTTTTAATCTTATATTTAATTTATACTTATTTAATATATTTTTAAATAAAGTTTAAATCTATTATTTATTTAATAATATAATTTAAAGGCTTATCTACTATATAGTTTATATTCTTAAATATATAAATAAGTATAGAACTAAATATTATAATTTTTTTAATTTCTTTTCTTATATTTATAGTTTTTTATTTTAGTTTATAGCTTTAGAAAATAAGGTTTCTTTTTCTATAAATATTTTAAATTATAATAATATTATTTTTCTTTTTTTATATTTAACTTTAATATATTTTTTTATTTATATTTTCTTTAATTAATAAAGTCTTTATTATTACTAATATAATAGATTATAATAATATTTATATTTATATTTTTTCTATTTTTTTATATATAGCTTTAGCTTTTTAAGTATTTAACTTTTTTAGCCTAGTTTTTAATATCTTTTAGCTAGTATCTACTGCTACTAACTTCTTTAACTTTTTTTCTAATTTTAATTTTTTTTAATAGTTTTCTTTTCTTTTTTTATTAATAATATACTATTATTATTAATAATAGCTATTAATATACTAAGACCCTTTATTTTAATTTATTTTATATTACTTTTTTTAGTTATAATTAGGCTAGCTTTCTTTAAAATCTAGACTACTAAACTTTATAATTCTTTTTAATATTTTTTTTATATTAATTCTATTTATTTTATTACTAGCTTTAATATTTTATACTTAGTATAAGAAGCTATATAATATAAATTCCTTATTAATTATACTAAAATACTTTTTCTTTTTTATATTTTCTTTAGTACTAATATAAGGCCTACCTTTTAATATATATATCTTTTTTAGTTTTTTATTTAGTTTAAAATTAAAAAGCTAATATATAAAAAGCTCCTTTTTTAAAAACTTAGACTTATTCTTTTAAACTACTATTATTTAGCTAGAGTTATAGTAGTAGCTATATAGTTTTATTAAATTTTTTATTTTTAGTAAAAGTAGTTTTTTATATAATAATAAAACCTATTTTAGTAAATTAATATTAAAAAGTAGATCCACTTTATAGATTTATAAAAAAATATTTTTACTTCTCTATATAATTAGCTATTTATAGAATTTTAAGTTAAGCTTTTTCTCTTTAACATAAT